GTTTTTTAGCAGTTGGTCTATCCGCCGGACGCCACTCATCATGTTTAGGTTGTTCGAAATCACCTTCGGGTTTCAAATTATCCTTAGGTCTCTTTTGCGTCGGACGCTCAGCAGGACGCCATTGATCCTTTTCAGGAGTTGTGAATTCGCCTTCAGGCCGTAAGTTATCTTCTGGTTTTTTAGCAGTTGGTCTATCGGCTGGGCGCCACTCATCATGTTTGGGTTGCTCAAATTCACCTTCCGGTTTCAAATTATCCTTAGGCTTCTTTTGCGTAGGGCGTTCAGCAGGTCTCCATTGATCCTTTTCAGGTGTCGTAAATTCACCTTCGGGTCTCAAATTGTCTTGTGGCTTTTTCGGTGTTTGTCTATCAGCTGGACGCCATTCATCTTGTTTGGGCTGATCAAATTCTCCTTCGGGTTTCAAATTATCCTTAGGTCTCTTCTGCGTCGGACGCTCAGCAGGTCGCCATTGATCCTTTTCAGGAGTTGTGAATTCACCTTCAGGCTTTAAGTTGTCCTCTGGTTTTTTAGCAGTTGGTCTATCCGCCGGACGCCACTCATCATGTTTAGGTTGTTCGAAATCACCTTCGGGTTTTAAATTATCCTTAGGTCTTTTTTGCGTTGGACGCTCAGCAGGACGCCATTGATCCTTTTCAGGAGTTGTGAATTCGCCTTCAGGCCGTAAGTTATCTTCTGGTTTTTTAGCAGTTGGTCTATCAGCTGGGCGCCACTCATCATGTTTGGGTTGCTCAAATTCACCTTCCGGTTTCAAATTATCCTTAGGCCTCTTTTGCGTCGGGCGTTCAGCAGGTCTCCATTGATCCTTTTCAGGTGTTGTAAATTCACCTTCCGGTCTCAAATTGTCTTGTGGCTTTTTCGGTGTTTGTCTATCAGCTGGTCGCCACTCATCATGTTTAGGTTGTTCGAAATCACCTTCGGGTTTCAAATTATCCTTTGGTTTCTTCTGCGTCGGACGCTCAGCAGGTCGCCATTGATCCTTTTCAGGAGTTGTGAATTCACCTTCAGGCTTTAAGTTGTCCTCTGGTTTTTTAGCAGTTGGTCTATCCGCCGGACGCCACTCATCATGTTTAGGTTGTTCGAAATCACCTTCGGGTTTCAAATTATCCTTAGGTCTTTTTTGCGTCGGGCGTTCAGCAGGTCTCCATTGATCCTTTTCAGGTGTTGTGAATTCGCCTTCCGGTCTCAAATTGTCTTGTGGCTTTTTCGGTGTTTGTCTATCAGCTGGACGCCACTCATCATGCTTAGGTTGTTCGAAATCACCTTCGGGTTTCAAATTATCCTTAGGTCTTTTTTGTGTCGGACGCTCAGCGGGTCGCCATTGATCTTTTTCAGGAGTTGTGAATTCACCTTCAGGCCGTAAGTTGTCTACTGGCTTTTTAGCAGTTGGTCTATCCGCCGGACGCCACTCGTCATGCTTAGGTTTTTCAAATTCACCTTCAGGTTTTAAGTTGTCTTGGGGTTTCTTTTGGGTTGGACGTTCAGCGGGTTTCCACTCATCTTTTTTAGGAGTCGTAAATTCACCTTCTGGCTTCAGATTATCTTGCGGCTTTTTGGGTTTTTGTCTTTCGGCAGGTCGCCATTCGTCTATTTGTGGTGTTTCAAAATCACCCTCTGGTTTTAAGTTATCACTGGGTTTAATTTTCTTTTGCCTAACATCAATTGTTTCATGTGTTTTATACTCTTCCTGTGATGTCGTAACTGTTTCTACATTTTCTGTGGAGTAAAACTTCTCAAAATCTTCCTTTGTCCATGTTCGACGACGATGAGGACGTTCAACAATGGTATTTTTTTCCGTATAATCACTTTGATTAGAAGTTATAAATTCTATTTCACCTTCTCTTATTAAATTGTCGGTTTTTCGAGTAACTAAGGTAGTTCTTTCGACAGTATCAGTGTAATCAATAAATTCAGATTTTGAAGTAGTGTCGGTTATCATGTCTCCTTCTATTTTCGTCCAAGTGTTTCGTCGTACCGGTTTTGGTCTATCAACAGGTTTCACAGTGTACTCTGTTCTCGATGTGGTGGTATCTGTAAATAAATCAATCAAAATATTAACTAGTAGTTGTTGCGAAATAAAGTTAATGTATATATAATTAATGTATACATATTAATAATTTTAAATTGATAATTATCTTAAATTGTTTTAATTTTTTTTAATATTTTAAGAAAATAATATATCTTGCTCACCTGTAAATTCACCTTCCACTATAATGTTGTCCGTACGTCTTATAATTTCTGCCCTTTCTCCAGTAACTACTTTATAATCTTCTTCTATGGTTCTCCAAGTAGTAAATTCGCCTTCGGGGCGTAAATTATCTTTCGGTTTTTTAACAATAGATTTTTCGGCTGGTACAAATTCTTCTGGTTGGCGTTTTGCGAAGTCTCCCTCAGGCTTAAGATTATCTGTAGGTTTCTTTTGTACCGGTCTTTCGGCGGGTTTCCATTCATCTTTCTTCGGTGTTGTAAACTCGCCCTCTGGCTTTAAATTGTCTTCAGGTCGTCGAACCGGTTCTCTTTCACCAGGACGCCACTCTTCAGGTTTACGTTTTTCGAAATCTCCCTCTGGCCTTAGGTTATCCTCTGGTTTTTTTGGCTTCTGCCTTTCCGCTGGCCTCCAAGGTTCTTTCTCAGGTGTTTCAAAATCTCCCTCGGGTTTAAGATTATCATGCGGACGTCGCACCGGTGCCCTATCTCCCGGTTGCCATTCCTCAGGTTTCCTCTTCTCGAACTCTCCTTCAGGTCTAAGGTTGTCTTTCGGACGCCTCATCGGTTCTCTGTCGCCTGGGTACCATTCGTCGGGTTTCCTTTTTTCAAACTCTCCTTCTGGTTTCAAGTTATCTTCTGGTTTTCTCGGTTTTTGCCTTTCTGCTGGCCGCCATGGTTCTTTTTCAGGTGTTTCAAAATCTCCCTCGGGTTTAAGATTATCATGCGGGCGACGTACTGGTGCCCTATCTCCCGGTTGCCATTCCTCGGGTTTCCTTTTCTCAAAATCTCCCTCTGGTTTTAAATTATCTTCTGGTTTTGTAGGTTTTTGTCTTTCTGCCGGCCTCCAAGGTTGCTTTTCTGGAGTCATAAATTCACCTTCCGGCCTCAAGTTATCATCCGGTCGACGAACGGGGGCCCTATCACCAGGGCGCCATTCTTCAGGTCTTCGTTTTTCAAAGTCCCCTTCAGGATAAAGATTGTCTTCTGGACGACGTACTGGTGCACGATCACCTGGGCGCCAATCATCTGGTTGACGTTTTTCAAATTCACCTTCAGGTCTTAAATTATCAACAGGTTTCTTAGGTGTAGGACGCTCAGCTGGTCGCCAAGACTCTTTTTCAGGCGTGTTAAACTCGCCTTCGGGCCTGAGATTATCATTGGGCCGACGTATAGGAGCCCTATCTCCTGGACGCCATTCTTCTGGTCTCCTTTTCTCAAAGTCACCTTCAGGTCTAAGGTTGTCTTCTGGACGGCGCACAGGAGCTCTATCACCAGGTGCCCATTCCTGCGGCCTTCTGCTTTCAAAGTCACCCTCAGGTTTTAAGTTATCTTCGGGACGCCGTACAGGAGCTCTTTCACCGGGACGCCAATCTTCCGGTTGGCGTTTTTCAAAGTCGCCTTCAGGCCGTAAATTATCCTCTGGTTTTCTCGGTTTTTGCCTTTCAGCCGGTCTCCATGGCTCTTTTGAAGGAGTATCAAATTCTCCTTCAGGTTTCAAGTTATCTTCAGGTCGACGAATTGGAGTGCGATCACCAGGTTGCCATTCTTTGGGCTCCCGTCTTTCGAAATCCCCTTCAGGTTTTAAATTGTCTTCGGGGCGTCTAACAGGTGCCCTCTCGCCTGGTTTCCATTCTTCAGGACGACGTCTCTCAAATTCTCCTTCTGGTCTAAGGTTATCCTCCGGCTTTGTAGCTTTCGGTCGTTCAACAGGCTGCCAGCGAGGCCGCTCCGGTTCTTGAAAGTCTCCTTCAAGACGGAGATGGTCTTCGTGATGAACGGCAGTAGTACGACTGACATGTTTCTCGTCGTAATCTTGTTTGTATGCGGAAACCACGCTCGTCGTGTGCTCCACATCGAACAATGGCTCCGGGACATCGTTGTGTGGGCAACGGTGGCGCCTGGAAACATTTACAAAAATATATAAATAAAATCACAATATTCTTGTTCATAGATTTGATTAAGTAATAAAAAGCTTATAACCTAACATTCATTCACACCTTTTGAAACGATAAGGATGTAGATAAATTGGGAATCGTCGGGGCAGCGGCAAAGGCGGCAGCATCAGCGACCCGGCCATAACTTGCATCCATCTCGCTCACATCTCTCCACTTCGTTAACAACGACACACTATACTAGCTATATAAATCTCATTTGGTACTATTATCTCACACTTTTTAAAAGGCAATTGCATATTATTTTTTTGATGACCGTATTTAAAATAATTTCTTGTTACGCTGAATTTACAACCCATTGCTTTCACCGTTTTAAGTCCTAATTTTTTAAACAATGGGAATACATTATTGTATCACTTTTATACTTAACTTCGTCTGTAACTTGTAATTAATCTTTTAACGTTTTTTTTTCTATCCTAAGACCGGAATCATTTATTCTGTGAGCCTTCCGTTAAACACAAACGCGCGTTGTATACTGCCGCACGATTCGCCTTCGCATTCTAAAATTTCTCACGCAACTACTTACTAGGATTTTTTTATCCGCGATCTATGATAAAAAGAATAAACAGTTTTAACAAACAACTTCATATGCATATACTTTTCATTAACATCAATAACAAATCTTTCAGATTTAAATCCTGAAAACGGGGAATTAATCGATAGGATTTTGTTTCTATAGCAACTGTTTATTACATTTATTAAATACTAGCTTTCGCCCGTAACTCCATCCGCATTATATTTTAAAAAAACAAAAGTGAATAGACTATGTGTTCTTCCAGACTATCCTCTACGTCTACACCAAATTGTATCAAAATCCGGTCAACCGTTTAGGTTACAAACGCTAACAAACATTCATCCAAGCCTCTAAACATTCGCATTTATAATATTAGAATGATTTAACAAAGTCCTTATGTATTTATCTTTAAACATATTGGTTTTGTACTACTAAACGTACTAGGTATGTAATATTCTATCTAGGTATGTAATATTTAAAATTACGTTTAACGATAGAAATCTATGTAAATAACAACTCATCTCCTTATTTTTTAACAACTAGGTAATACATAAATTAAACAAAGTCGTAGTAATTTATTACTGCAATGAAACTTTAAGATCGTCTGATGCACAAAGGCGAAGCAAAGGGGTTAAGTAGGCGGCAGTAGCATTCCAGATTTAGCTATGACTCAGGCAATCGTAAGGAACACAATGAACCCTTCATTACACCAGCGCCGTTCTCATTTAACTTAGGCCTATAGTTTTTATTGGGTAACAAGATATCTTCATTAGTACGAAAAGGATGATTTCTTTGTATCCGTAGAAATGTCTAGAAGAGATTTGAATTTATAAAAAAAAAACAAAAGTAAAATGAGAATGATATTAAAAAATCTTCTACAAATTTAGCTCAGAATCGACAATATCAGTGTAAAATATAGATAATCGTTATCAAAAAGCTTCGTTTCAGTATCGACGTGATAGATAATTGAAAGCCCTTAGCTATTGTAAACGGTCGCATAGCAACGCGCAACAAACACATCCTACATAATTACACCCAGTCTGTAGAACGAAGGTTTTCTACGAAAATCGTAGGAACATTTTTTTCTTTCCATTCACGTTACTTTAATATTTTAGTATATTATTTAGAATATTTCTTGTTTGATTATTAAATTATTGATTTTAGTTTGTTATGTTAATTATTTGAATAGGAAATGCATTTGTATATGTTTATTAGATTATCTATTATGACGTTAAAAGGAATATCCGGTTTGTTGCAATAAATGTAACCTAATTGGTTAAGTCAATAACAGAAATGCAAAAACATGACTATGTCAAATACGACGCAATTTGAATTAGACCTATTGATGACACAGCGACTTTCTGAATAAGCTTTCATTGCCTTGTCTTGCAAGTTTGGCTAGTGTAGATCCCAGAATTAATTAGAATAAAATGTAGTCTATACAGATATTATAGAGTGAAAAGATTTGTATTTCTCTATGTATTGAAATAACTCAAAAACTACTGGGTCGATTTCAAAAATTCTTTCACCATTATAAAGATACGTTACCACTTAGTAACAATGGCTATATTTTTTAATTTCACGCGGGGGAAGCTGCGAACAACAGCTAGTCATAAATAAGATGACATCATCGTTGTTATGCAGAAACATACATGCAAATGTTTAATAGAAAAATAAAATATTAATGTTATCCTTGTCCGCTTAGAATTCTTCATTTATTTATTTTTATATATTTTATATACAGGACATTTACTTGTAAGGCATAAATATAACATATTTTTCACGAGATGCATAATGAGTTTTCTCTTACAAACCGTGTGTCTTGTAAGGTCATGTGAGTCAGAACAATATTCTCAGATATGTCACGGCCGGCGTGTTCACAGAAGCCCTTGTTGCTTATACAGAAATTACCTCATTGAAAAACTTCATGTTGTTTTTATCCTTATTTGTATATAGGTCGTTCGGTTTATAATGTTTACGTTTGCATTGACAAAAGTAAAAAGTGTTTATTCAATGAAAAGTGAAGAATTGAAATCTCTGAATTCTAATATTTAGTTTTGGTTTCTCTAAAGTCGCAGGTTCGCATGAAAACTAGCGATTAGTAAAAAAGAAACATGATATCATTGGGAGAACATTCTGGAATATATTTCACAAGATCTAGAAATATTAATGGACGCAAAACGTTTACATTGTTTTATAATTTTTCTCCCTAAAAATGTTTTATGTGCCTTTAACTTGGATAAGAAAGTTGATATTTAGATCTTAATAGAAATTCCAGTTCTCTGTATATTGCTGCAATTTGCATGTGGTATGAATAAAGCATTTGTTGTTGCAGCTTGAGTCACGACTAAGCAAGCGCTGACGGGATCGAAGATGTTCTCTATATTGGGACGATTACTCAACCGTCGACTCGACTCCACTCAAATATTACACAGAATTCCGATGATTCAAAAATCACATAACGAGATTTATTTACAAAAATAATTAGCTTTTTGTAAATCCAATAATAATGATACATTTAATTATACTTGACTAATGTTTTTGTTAGTTTATTTTCAAAGCGGGTTACATTTGTCATTTTTAGCTATAATCTGAACTTAAAAAGCTTAGCAATAAATTTTCATTACGTCCATAATTGTATACTAGCTGTTGCTCGCGACTTCGTCCGCGTGAAATTAAAAAAACATATAGCCTATGTTACTCACATATAAATTACCTTTCTAACGCTGAAAGAATTTTTAAAATCGGCTCAGTAGTTTTTGAGTTATTTCAATACATACAAAAATACAAAGTTTTCCTCTTTATAATATTAGAATAGATTGGTTTCGAATTTAAATATTTATTAGATAACTTAACATAATTTCTTCAGCTTATAACTTAACCACTTATCATATTCAAAGCAGCTTAAATAAATCCCTCTATAACTTATTAAAGTTGTGTTGCTAAGATTGCTAGTTTTTGACACGTTCGATGCTAGCTGCGAGTTTATTTTAATAGGTAAAAATCGTTACGGCATTGAACGTGTTAAGAAGTGCTTTTTTTTACAAAAGGCAACAATTGTTCAACATTTTGGATTTATCATAAATCAGATACGAAATATAATTACAGAAATTGTAAAACATTAACAAACCAATTTGTTTTCGATGCATTTTTTGCAATTGCCAAGACTGTCAAGGTGATCCGCCTATTCAAGTTTTTCAAGTACGAAATAATCAAGCATAGGAAGTAATTTGAAATTATGGCATCACCGTAATCGGCTATGTTGGCCGTTCATATTTAGCGTGGGCTTTTTATATGCAATTATGACGTCATGTATCAAGCCAATATGAACACGATAACTCAAACATTAACTAAATCTTACAAATAAATACTTCTGAGTTTTTATTTGCGGATGATCTGTAAACGATTATAGACTGGACATGTCTAATTTTGGTCTTCACTAACAAAGTCGAGTTTTTAGAAATTCGATGAATGAATTATTCCTAAATGATACATGTTTAAGTATACCTAAAAATCTTGTAACTAATAAATTGAAAATTTTCTTTACAAATTACCGTATCAGTCCTGTGTAGAGGCCAATATCATTGTTTATAGTATTTTTGTATTAAATGTCAGTAATATGAGAATAATTTAATTACGCAATAACTGAAAATATATTCCACTTAAAGTATATTCCATTTTAACAATCTTGAAACATTCCCACATCGTTGACCTTTTATATAACCTCTCAGTTATACTACAAAGGTGATCTTTTTGACCTTAACAAAACTCATATGAAAGAGAAATGAATATTTAAGTACTTAGCGCTTATAGCATTTTTTATTTCTTATTCAAAACGATGAAAAAATTGGAAGGTTTCTATGTAACAAATCGTAGTAATTTTATGAATAGAGAGATAGTGTCATGCGCGGCGTTTGCAGCCATATGGTCGACGACCTTCTACAACATTGGCATTAGTGACGGCCTGTCTAACAGTTCTTACACCTACATGATTTTTATTATATCTGTATTGGAACTTATTGTATAGCCAAAATATACTTTACAAAGAAAAATAACTAAAACATAGCGTTGGTCTTGTCGTAATGTTTTAAATCCCATGGTTCTAGAAAAAAGTCGAATAATTAAATCTAAGTTAAGAAAATTAAAACACGAACAATTTATAACACTGGTTATTATAATCAAATTTTTTAAAAAAATTAACTCAATCTTAACGTTCAGTTAGCCCATAGATTTGAGTATCAGATGTTTTTAATTTTGTCTACAAAATAAACTGTTTGGTTTAATAAAATTTTCCACAGAAGGAGAAAAATCGAGAAATATTGTGTTGGTAACACGATCATGATTTATTTAACAAGGTGACGATTCATAAAAGAGTATAAATAAAGCGTTACTTATAAACGTAAACAGTTACGGTGAGTACCAGTGCAAAATA